TTCAGCGCCGCCATCTCCGTGGTCTTATCCTTGATCTCCTTCGCCCTCTCTGCCAACTCCGTAGTCTTCTCTTTGACCTGCTTCGTCCGTTCCGTCAACATGCGTCTTAGCTCTGCATTCTCCCGCCTCAACTGGTCGACTTCTATATCGACGGCCTCAGGCGGATTCGGTGGTGGTGGACCGCGATTGTCCAGCATGGGGTCGATGCGTGAATCTTTTCGGACGAGTGGGAAGGGCGCGGGCGGTTTGAGGGTGTGAGAGGTGGGGTGTTGGTATGTGTTTTGCAGGTGGGGCGCGGGTCGTTGGGCTGATTGAGAAGTACTGGTTCCAGCGTTGAGTTGTACAGTATCATGGATATCGGCTTCGACTTCGCCCTCAGCCTCGTCGTCTGAGCTGTTGAGGCCGTCGCCGACTTGTTGGCCCGCTGCTTTCCGGGCTCGCTTTATCTGCGCTCGGATGTTGTATACGTCCCGCTTGAAGATGTGTATGCCGGGTAGTCTCGCCTGCAGTACCTCCACTGTCCGTCCTACGCCACGATCGCGACCCTGGTTGGGCTCGCCCTTTCGTAGCATCTCTTGTTCGACAATCTTCCATACGAGACCGCCACGCTCGAGGCTATGTTGTGGCTTCTTCTGTGCCTGTGCAGATGTGCAGACTGTGTCTTCGTCGCCGTCGGCTTCCGCGTCAACGTCTTCGAGGGTTTCCTGATTTTGTGTCAGGCTTGACTTGGCGAGTTCCTCCTTCGCTGTTACGCCTCCAACCCCGATGCGCCCTCCTACTACACCCCACGTCCTCTTCCGTTGTACAGCCCATCCAGCACTCTCGCGCCCGGGGTGATTGTGTTGTGGCTCGCCCACGCGCAAGAGCCACGTGCCGTCGTCCTGCTTCTTGCCCTCGATCCACATCTTGCACCCTGTCTTATAGCTGACCCTATTCTTCCTGACCCTCGTCTCGGCCGTAAGTTTGTGGGTGTTCTTCGGCTGGCCATAGCACACGCAGGCGAGTTTGATGCGCGACCGGTTCTTAGCCGTCGTATTGATAGACAGCGCATATCCGTTCTCGGCGGCGTGCGACTGCGCGTAATCGTGGAGGGATTGCCATGAAGGGTGTATCGAGTTGGAAGGCGGGAGCATAGCGAACTGACGGTCGGACGCGTCATTGTCTAGGGGTGCTTGTGCCGAATTGTGCTGGATGCCGATGTAGGATGCTTCGGATGTAGGGCTATGGATCCTGTAGTCGTGATGTTGGCCGGCTAAGCCATGCTGGAAGCTCTCGCGCTTTCCAGACGTGTCGTCTGGGGAGTAGCTGTTATCGTGCTGTTGCCCGTGGTCGTTCATACTGGCAGCATGTTGGGCGTTGGCGGTGGTGGGCTCGCAATAGGCTGCCATGTTGCTGTGGCGGACTGCGACATGATGATGCGACGCGGCATAGGCATCGTAAGGTGGCTGTTGGTTCGCGATGGCGTTACCGTGATTGTACGTGGGGACTTGGTCGAAGTTGTGATGGCGGGCGAAGGTGGCTGCCATGGTTGGTTTGATATGGAGCGCTCTCGCCATGTTCCGGATTACTTCAGCCACGGCCGTTTGTCGCTGTTGGAGATATCCGTCAAGTCTGCGCACATGGCGATTATCTCCAGAATATGAGCTATGCGACTTTGGTCAATGCTGCCATATTTGGGTGGAGGGTTCCCAGGCTCAGACATATTCGTCGCTGGTACGTCGCTCTCTGCGCTTCAGCCGATTGGCTGCTCGGAACTCGAGCATTAATGTTGCCCTCACAACCAAGCAAAGCAAAACGCGTCAGAACATCATCCCACTATCATTTTGACTACGCCAGACGAGGCGTGCGACGGATGCGCCCATTGCCTATTTAATATACCCCACGGAGACCGCAGTAGCCTTACTCTCTTAAGGTGACATCCACCCACATGTCCTTGATCTCCCATAACCCAAGCGAGTTGAACGTCTTCCATGGTTCCAGCGGGTTGGTCAACGACAGATCAAAGTGCCTCAACAACTCAAAGATGCACTTGTGTATCTCAATCAACGCGATGTTGCGTCCTAGGCAAAGCCATCGACCGTACCCAAATATCATATCGTTGGTTTTCGTCATTCTGGTTAGACGGTCTTTCGCCTCCTCGTCGCTTGTCTCAATCAGCCAGCGTTCAGGACGGAAGGTACCACAGTCTTCGCCGTAAAGAGCGCGGTTGTTGCGGTGCATCGTCCAGGCTGAGTAGCCGACCAATGTGCCGCCGGGGATGTGATACTCCTTGTCATCGATGGTCACGACATCTCCTTCATCCGGAGTGACTCTTGAAAAGATGTTGGCGACTGGTGGATGTATCTGCAGGGTCTACTGTTAGCGCATACTGGCTCAAAGATCTATGTTCTTTGCAGAAAAGACAAAACTTACTCGCATTCCTTCACGGACGACAGCGCCTAAATATGGCAGGCGGCGCACTTCTGCATCCGAGATGATACCAGGAGACGCGGGAGCCGCGCCGCTTCTGACGGCTTCATCTATCTCGGATTGCAGCTTTGCATACACGCGCGGATGGCTCATGACATAAAGCAAAATAGTCCGAATGGCAGCAGCCGTAGTGTCAGATCCGGCGAGAATCTGCTCGAAGACTTCCTGGACTACGCACGGTGGGTCAGTCGACGCCCGGAATCGTGGGTTACAACACTCATGTCACTTACAAAGATCGTTTCCAGAGAGACCATGGCGGACGAATGACGCGAACATATCAGACTTATCTTCAGTCGACTTCAACATCCTGGAGTCGACTATCTTTCGTGCTTGAGCCATCATGTTACCGAACCCAGTGGCATCCTTCTCCGATGGACTGATGGCGGGGCCAATGATAGGCGTGTCTCTGAGCCAGGCTATACCCATTGCGAAGGCCGTGTTTCCAATCTTGAGACCTTCTTCGCTCGATTTCAGGTAGTCTTTAAGGTCTTTGTCGGCATTCAAGTCACCGAATGCTTCTCCCAAACCTACATGACTGATTACGTCCAACGTAAAGAAGGGGATCTTCTGGGCTAGATCCATGGCCTGGGATGGTTTCGTTGACGCTTTCGAGGCCGCATACTTGCGCACCAAAGTCACAAGTTCTTTTACATGGAGGTCTATTGATGGCTCTAATGTCGGGTTCTCTTTACCAGAGTACTGCAATACGTTAGTAAGTGCAGATTGGTCACGCAGCTGCCCAGATTTCCACTAGAGGTGCGCAACCTCATCATCCAGATTGTGTATCCACGTACCCCAGCTGTCATCTTCTTCCGTCTGGCATCATGGCTATCGTTGTCGCAATCTGTAAAGACATTGTCTTTCCCCGTCTCAAACCGAGCACTATGGTAGTACCATGATGATCGCTTATACGGTGAACGCACCGCATTGATCCGTGCCCAGTATTCTGGGTCTGATGTTATGAGGTGGTTCGGTGCGATCCTGGCAATCGGCCCTTATGAGGAGTATCAGTATAAGGCCACCAGATCGCGTAGCACTTTTGCCTTCCTGACACGTACCGTACTTCTCGCAAACCTCGCCGTAGTACCTAGGAGATTGGCCACCGATAACAGCTCTGGAATGCCACAGCCAAGAGAATCCCGTCGTCCTGGGTCCGGCGAAATGTCTCAGACGCAAGTACTGTCGTATGCGGCCGATAGCGAAGAACGCCACAGCGACGAATGCGATTGCGTACAGGCGCTGTGAGACGCTGTCAAGCAATGACTCGGGCGGAACAGACTCCATGGCTTGCCTGAAGTGATGTCAGAGCGCAAGGATTTGAAGTTGCAAATGATGAATGGGAGTTCTTCCCATCAGTGGGGCAACCCTTCGTGAAAGCGCGGGCGCCGTTGTGCGCTACAGAAACTAGCGGAGAGCGTTGCTGCAAGCTCCTATTGAACCATTGTTACTGGCCCTGATCGGTCAAGCACCAATTTGGAGGATTGGAGAAGATGCGGAGCTCGCAGCTGCATGGTGACCAAGCCATGTGTTGTCCATACCTTCCTCGGTGTGCCCCACCAACGAGCAACGTTTGACGGAAGTCATGGCGACATCTGGAACCAAGTCCAATCCCTCACAGAGAATAGCGGGAACCGGAGTGGTTTGCAAGCGCCGCGGCACGTCAAGACTGCTTGCGCTAGCGTCGTGTTGTTGATTGTCAAGGTTCCCCAGCTGAGCGATTGAGGCACGCAACAAGCTGATAGGGCAAGTTAGTACAGCAGCAATGCAGCGTCAAGTGACTCAAGTCTCATCCTACACGAAGCAGTAACCGACTCTTGATGTTTTCGCAATCAAATTTCGTCCGATCGCGAAACCTACTCCAGCGAATCATTCGGTGGAGAACACTCCGGTCGAAAACAGGCTACGATGCGTCGTGTCGAGCCTGCAGGAAGCTCCCGCGATCTCGGTCCACAACCACGTTTTTGCCCTTGTATGCACGTTGGTGTGAAGCACTTCGGACCTCAGCGCCAGTTTGTTCTAGCCCTGTGGAGAGGCGCAGCCTTGATCATGTTACCGTCTGGGCAGGGTCTTCGCAACGGCACCTACCGTTATTAATCATCTCTCCCTTCTGGGAGGGTCTATCTTTGAATTTTTCCGTACCTTTTCCGCATCTGAAGTCATTCGAGACCCATCAAACGACGTCATAGTGGTTTTTGTATACTCGCTTATCTACTTGCCCCATTTCTTTCCGTGCCGTTGCTGTACGATTGAGGCACAGTCGCGGCTATTGTCACTGGCCTTGATAGCCGCGCTAACAGTCGCTCGAAGAATACTTGAGACATACAAAACTTGTGGCGGCCAGATTGCCATTAGCCAAGTCGCTCAGCTTACAGAGTGAAACAGAATCTCTAAGATGGCAACTCTTGGAAAAGGAAAAGGAAAAGAGAAGGCAATTGAGGGCGAGTCAGCAACAGCATCATCTGATAGTACAATTTCTGGAGATGAGCCCAGGAACGTTGCGCCACGAAATACTGGGGCAGCATCGCCGCTGAATGACCTTACTGTATCATCTAACGCACCAGAAGAAGAGGCAGCCTCAACAGATCCAGCTGAAGCATCTGCTAGTCAAGCAATCCCAACGGGGCTTCCCTCAGAAACAGTGGAAGGTCCTGCACCAACAGCGGAAGTTGTCAATCCACTTGTATTAGTTGTACGTATCTCAAGCTTTCTTTCACAGAGTTTGCTCATTCAGACATTATGCGCCGCGAGACAATCGTCGTCGCTCAGTGTCTCCTCAAGAAGCTTCTAACCTTAGCAGGATAGCACAAGCGACGCAGACTCGGCTCTAGGCGACGACGACGCGGCAAGCGACACAACGTCCATCGCTTCAACCATACATAAAGGTCGTTTCGAAAACGGCCGCCGTTACCACAAGTACCGCGAGGGCGAAAACGATTACTGGGGTCCCAACGATGAGATCCAGAATGATCAACTCGACATTGCGCACCACATGTTTCTGATCATGCTGGACCAGAAGCTGCATCTGGCGCCTATCAAAGAGCCAGGGAAGGTGTTGGATCTGGGATGCGGAACAGGGATTTGGTGTATGGACATGGCCGACGGTATGTCTCTCCGATAACATCCCTCACACTCTTCGATACTACGACTAACTTCATACTCAGAATACCCCGGTGCCGAGATCCTCGGCGTAGACCTCTCCCCCATCCAACCGCAATTCACACCTCCCAACTGCAAATTCGAAATCGACGACGTAACCCTCCCATGGACATACACCCAGCCCTTCGACTTCATCAACATCCGCTCATTATACGGCTCCATCGGTGATTGGCCAGCACTCTACGCACAAGTTTACAACAACCTCGAGCCAGGCGGTTACCTCCACGAAATGGAAATGAGCATCCAGTTCAAATCCGACGACGGCACGTTGACCAAAGAACACGTTTTGTCTCAGTGGAGCGACCTCTTCCATGAAGCATCCGAGCGATTCGGTAAATCATTCTACGAGGTGTGGAATTTGTCGACGTATATTCGTAATGCGGGATTCAAGGATGTCGAAGAGCGGGTGTACAAGGTTCCGGTCAATGGGTGGCCGGCAGACCCCCATATGAAGGAGTTGGGAAGGTGGAATTTGCTGCACATCACGCAAGGAGCGGAGGGCTGGGGATTGTATCTTCTGACGAAGGTTATGGGCTGGACGGTGGACGAGGCCCAGATTTTCTTTGCTAAGTTCAGGTCGGGCGTGAAGGAGAGGAAGGTGCATGCGTACTTTGAGGTCGTGGTGATTCATGCGAGAAAACCTTGAGAGGGGGAATCGATGACAGTGCATATTGGATCAGTGCTCTTATGCGTCATGAAGAGTCCGATATATAGTGCAAAACATCGGTATTGCAAACTGAAACGATAGCGTCATGATGCGTCGTTGATTAAAGTATTACTTAAAGGCAGGGTATACGCATAGGGAATATCAATCTGAACCAAATACCTCAGCTTCATCTCCGCTCCTCCACGGAGTCTACTTGCGATCAGGAGGTGGAGTGGCTGTGCGGGGTACCTCTCCCGATTTTGGATCGGGAAGATGCGACACACTCGGGAGATCAGCTACCGACGCTGACTGTTCTTCTTCCTTCTCTTTGTTGTCTTTGATGATGAGTGGCTCTTGAGGTGGAGAAGCAGGCGTGATCTTCCCGCTGTCCCTAGTCTTCGCCTTTGACTGATCACCAAAGATGGAGTCGGTTTCCTCGTTGATGGAGGAGGCGCTGCTGATACGTCCAGCTTGGCCGTCTTCAGCAGCGAGGCGCTCCTTCTCGAGACGGGTTTCGCGACCGCGCTTGTGGCAGTACCAGAATACGAATAGCAGTACTACATAGGGTTAGTTTGGTTGCGATGCGATATGGGCGTGATACGTACCAAATACTGCCAAACTCATGATGACATTGGTTCCAGTTGCCAGAGCAGGGAATCTGAACTTCAGGAAGTTCACAATGCTCCTCAGCGCCGTCGCAACAGCACCTTGGGCAGACACCAGTGACTTCAGACTCGGTACTTTTGGCACTTGGGGAAGCATAGATCTCTTTCCTTTGGGCTTACTGGAAGCCTGTGCATCGAACCCTGGCTTCTCGGACGACGCAGCCATAAGCTCTGGGCCGAGAGTGGCTGTGAGCTTGGCAGGCAAGCTCTTGACCAGGTTCTGCAGGAAAGGCGGTAGGTTGCCGTACATCTTCTTGAGTTGGTTGTCGTAATCTGTAAACAACTTCTCGAGGTCGTTGTAGGCTGTCGGTACCCCATTTATGAGATCTTTTAGAACCTGCGTGAACTTGTTGAGAAGCTCCTCTGACTCTTTGCTGAAGCTGAAGACGCGGTTGTTGACAGCTGAGAGGTTGAGCTGATCCAAAATATCCGTCAACTCCTTGTCCTCCTTCTGCGCATCGGTAAGCTCGGCAGCCTTGGCGGATTCGGCGGCAGCGAGTAGGTCGTCTGCGAATTGGGTCCTGTCCTTCTCCGTGACTACGATCTTCTTGTCTTTCGAGGCCTTCTCCCCGTCCTTCTTGGCGAACTTGGGCAGCTGGAAGTAGGACATGACACTCTTCTTCCTGCCCAGTCCACCCTCAGCGGCCTTCCCTTTGCCCTTGTCGCTAGTGTCAGCAGTGGTCTCGGGTGGACTCATGGGGAGCGGCACTTTGTCTGCATTGTCCATGAGTGCTGTTTGCGCATCCCTGCCGACCTTCTTCTCGCCATTGTCGTCGACTATTTCGGTACGCTGAGGGAGAGGTGGGGGCGTGCCTTCGGGCTCTGCGGCGATGGCGGCAAGTCGCTCAAGAAACTGCTGGTCTTCGGCGTCAAGGACAGGCTCGCTTCCTACTTCTTCGCTGGCGTTGGCGACAGTTGGTGCCGGCGGAGAGGGTACAGGGCCGCTGGGGCCAGCAGCGGGTTCTTCGATCTTTGGGACGGCAGCATCCTCGACTTTCGGTACGGCGGATTCCGAGACTTTGGGAGGGTCTTCGATGGGAGGGGCACCGGGTTTCTGTTTTGACTGAGGGAACAGCTGCTTTGACTGGCGGCGCACTTTCTCCAGATAGGATGCCATATTGGATGTGCGCGTCTGCCTTGGGTGTTGGTGGCAGGTACGGGTGTGATGAGGGACGCGTAGGTGATAGGGCGTTCGTAGGATATATGTCGCACTCTAGATTTGACGTGGAATGCTTGGGGGCGATCTTCCAGGCTCGGCGTCGCTCGCTATGTCGTCGTCGGCGCTGTAGAGGCCCTGATTTGATGTCCCGCGTTTACACGTGCTACGTCATGGGCAGGGGTATCGATCTAGAGCTCGCGCCACGCCGTGAGGGGCGACTAGCGCGACTCCTGACTTCTCACACTGCGACGCGTCAAACCTCGCCCCGACAGTACGAGATCGGAGAGATTCTGGAACACGTCAATTCCTGGTAGGATCTGGATGCAAACTCTCAGCAACCCTCTTCACAGCTTCGGTTGCTGATATCCCGATTTCCTCTGCAAAATTAGCCTTCGATGAATCCGCCACTGCAAACAATCGCTATGCATGCCTAAGCATTGCGCTCGGAAAGGTCTGCCTGGATTTGGAAGACGTCGAATACTCATAATCGCTAGATCAGTGTCTTTTGTAGCTGTTCCAATTATGGAACAGCAGCCGCGATCACACAATCAATCTTCGTTGGAACTACACACGGCTCGTGACTTTCCGCTACTATGTAGTGGCATTTCTTCCGCCTTAGCTTTCATTGACGTTGATGCTGTAGATAAGTTCATCTCCGACCTACTTTCGGTCCACCGATTAGCCAGATCCGATAGGTGTCCAAGGACTACAGTACAATGGCATATCATTCAGGCGGCGATCATTCCTGGCTTCGAGGTTCCTTCGGAAGATACGCTTTCCGATCGATACGCGGTTTCGCCTGCTTATGTCGAATTTCCGAATATCACGAGACCGGTCACCGCAGCATAGCACAGCTCTCATTTCAAGCGATAACATTAGTCACGCACCCTCAACGAGCGATATTGAGTAAAACTCAGGGCGGTTGTTGCGGTTATTCACATGTTTTGGTTTGCCTCCTGATCACTCCGAAGCTGACCAAATCCGAGCCTTCAAGGGGAGCACTTCAATCTGTGACAGGGACCTACACCTCATTCATGTCCTACATATCAGATATGATATCTCAAAGCTGCATTCTCACTACTGCCTCGTTCTCTTACATGTAGGTGACGCAGAGGAATCGCAATCACGTGCTTTCGTTGACTACGTCTACCGCCCGCACTCCTCCCTACCCCCACTATATAAGCAGTGTATCACTTCATTCCTCTATCTTTCCTCCATCATCTTGATCGCTCACAATAACCTTGAAGTAAGTCAATACATTTCTTGTCTGCGCGAATTATCTGCTTTGGGCTCACTGAAGCCTCCGGCCGCACACCGTGCGCAATCGGACTACCCACCTTTACCTTTGGCGCCTACAGTGGGCTAACGCGTTTGTTCTTTTGCAGACCCGACAGACTACCCCGCGGTGCTTCAGTACACCGAAACGATAAAGCACGTCACGCAATCAATCACTGTGTCGCGCTTCACAGTACCGACACTACACATATCACCACCGTACTCATCACTGTAGTCCGCAACATGGCTAATGACGCTTTCAATTTCTACGGTAAGTACTGTCATGATTGTCCTGTCTGCGCATGTTCTAACAAGAAACCATAGGCGACGAGTCAGACGACGCGAAGCCCGTTCAGAACAACTTGGACGACTTGAACGACGCAGTCGGCAGTGCTAGTGGTGAGGACGACGACTACATCGAGGACGCTGCTCAAGCAGCTGACGATGTAAGTATACAACTTGCTCATTCTGATTTCGCTAACTTGGAATAGTCCGATGATGGCGACTTCAAGCTCGATGGCTATGAAGATCTTGGTATTCCAGAAGAAGAGGTCGAGGACGAGGTAGATGACTACGATCCCGAGTACGACGACAACATGACCGGTCAGAAGCGCAAGCGCGTTCGAACCAATAACGCCTCCAAGACCAAGGGTCTTCAGCGATCCGTCATTGGTGTCCCAACTGGCGACGCTGAGGCTTTCATATTGGATGAAGACAACAGCTTCCTCTACAGCAAGCCTTCGCGCAAGCCCGGTACCTTTGGCCGTGTTGACCGTCGTAAGGGCGAGAGTCTCCCAGCTTATCACAAGCGTGTCACTCATGAGTTGGACTCTGATGACGAACTCATGATGACGATGCGTGAGAAGGGCTTCAGTGATCGCCAGATCGCGGACAAACTCGCCAAGGATGGCCGTGTTCGCTACGACCAGAAGTCCATCTCCACGCGTATCATGCGCATCCGCCTTGCTCAGTGTGAGAACGTCGACTTCCTTCTGAAGGAGGGATACAAGGAGTGGGAATACGCTGATGTAAGTACCTGGTCAAGTGACACCCCCTTTTTGATTTGGCTAATATGAACTTTTAGGATGAACTTCTGGTTCAGTCTTACGCTCTTGCCGACATCGAGGTCAATTACGAGTTGGAGCGCATTCGCGCCTGGCGCTTCCGCAAAGTCTCCGATTACATGCGTCGCCTGAACAAGAACGCACTCTTCTCTGCCAAGGCCTGCCGTAACCGTTACAATGAACTTGTCGAAGGTACAGCCCGCATTCCTACCGATATGGACGACGACCCCGACGCCCGCCGTATGGAGATGGAAGAGTTCCGCATGATGCGTGAGAAGACCCGTATCAAGGAGCAGGCCGACAAGGACGCCCTGGAAGCTGCGGAGGCTAAGATCAAGAACGACGCCAGGGTGCTCAACGCTCAGAAGGCAGAGGAGATCGCCGAAAAGCGCCAAGCCAAAGAGCAAGCAAAGGCTCATCGCGCCATGACGCGTGCCGCCCAAGCCCAGATCCGCCTTGCCCGAGCCAACGCGAATAGGATCTCGAAGACTCAGCGCAACACCCAGATCAAGACCAAGGGCAAAGCCCAGGAAACAAAGAAGAGCGAGGACGCCTCTCCGGCCCCGACCAAGACCAAGACCAAGAAAGTGGACCCCAACTACACCGATCCGCGTTCTTATCTCTCCTTCCTTGATCTGAAGAAGATATGTGAGAATCGCGGTATTGATCTTCCGCGCAGGGTGGACAAGGACACCCTGCTGCAGGCTATAGTTGATGCTGATGACGAGTACAACCAGAACGAGCTCAAGAAGATGTGTCGCTCCAAGGGCTTGAATGCTAACACCAGTAAGCTGGTGATGAAACAGTCGCTGGCGTTGGCTTCGGCAAAGGCTTGTG